TTTTACATTGCAAATAGCGAATCGCGCCGGGCATGAAGTTCTATTGACCGTATCATCTGTGCAAAACTTTTTAGCACCACCGTTGCTCTAATTAAATGAATCAGTCGTTGATATTCTGTTTATAACGAGGTGCGCCGTTCGAGCGGTCAAGGAAATTTGATCGAGGGATGATTAAAACGATCCTTCAAAGTGTGACTCTCGATCGAACTCCTCTGAGAAGACGATACATATTTTTCATTTGTACACCGACGCGACAGGTGTAACACTCGAAGGGAACGGAGCACGTGTCGCGCGCGGCATAGTAAACCGTTCCGCATGATCATTCCGGTGGCGAGGATTTCGTTGCACGCGCGACGGTACCCGTGTTCTCGCGCGTATATTGTTTCAAACATCGCGAGGGCAAAAAACGTAGCCACGAATTCGGATTCCGCACGCGGCGTACGCGCGTGTACGCGAGAAGAGAGCAGAGAGATTAATTAAACCGTAATGTTTCAGAGCTCTCAGGAAGAATTACAGCGGAGAACGTAGCTGCGCCAGGTTTACTCTAGCCGAGCACTTAAGCTCGTTGGTTTACTGTAATACGCGCGCCCGTAGCACACGAAAAATGTTGTAAAACACCCTTAAAACTTTGCCAGCGTACTTGCTAACCGCTAAATTGATTACGCTGCTTCTCTCTCGTTCGCCGATCACACCTGTGATTTTTCATTTGTTCCTTGCAAATAATAAATTGCCACGATCGTCGGTGGACGCGAGGCGTCGTATCGATCATCGTATCGGTCACCGTACGAAACTGTCGTACGAGATATGACGTTTACAAGGATTCATAGTGTTCGAACAGTTTCACGAGGCACGGTGTATCGACGAGAGCGTGGAGAGATTTCGGAATTCATTTCGGTGGCCGCACGTGCTTCAGCCGGAGAGGCAAAAAGAATTAAGTCCACCGTCGAGGCGAATACACGCGTCGAATACAATGACCAAAGCCGGTTCAGAGACACACGGAATAACTTAGCATCTGATTCGCGTTTAGAAATTCTCGTCTGGCCAACGGTGACTTATGCTCATCGATTGTTTCTCTACACTCGCCGCGTATTAATCGAGCTATCGGATACCCCGACGACGGTCCTCTCTCCGTCAATTTTTACGGTTCGCGCGCCAAACGACACTTTGCATTATGCAGCACGTTGCCGGTATTAATGGCGCGAATGCTTATGAACGGAGTGGGAGAAAATTCCGAATACCTGTGACGCGTCGACCGCCCACAATGAATCGGCTGAACGACCCCTGGGGCTCGTGCAACAATTATGCCGCAGTTCTTTTCGGAAAGAACTCTCGTTCATTGCGAATGCACGAGATGCACGTTGCGTAGGCGACGTGAGTATGAAAAAATGTGAAATACTTGTGTAGCGCCCACTGTAAATTACGTATGCTCCGTGGAACAATTATTCCTTTGATTTAATTAATCGGTCAAATAAAGAAGCACGCGTGGCAGAGCAATACAGGTATGAAACTAATTATATGATCCACTCTCGGCATCGTTTATCGACCATCTCGTTTCGCGTACGGTCTAATCGGGAAAACTGTGAGGAAAAAGGTTCGCGAACGAGTCCGCACGCAGTAGACCGTGTTAGAACCGATTAGGACCGAAACGAATCTCGCATGCGTGGCCATGCACGTTTCCTTTCCTACTCTCCTAGCGGATTTTCATTTTTATTTCGCGACTCACTCTCCTCCCGTTACCATCGATTCATCGTATTACAGCGATCTTTTGGCTAGTCGTTGAAAGTCGAATTTCTCGTATAAACAGCTAACCGGTATCTATTTTCGCTCAGCTCCACAGACCACTCCGCGAGCTTGATTCATTCCACGCGTGTCCGCGAAATTAACAATCCTGACAGACCGCTACCGGCAGTTTACAACGAAATCTCTGTGCCCCCGAGATTTATCGAGGGCGAGACCTCTCTCCGTGAAACGTGCCCAAACGAATAACAACGCGACTATTCGAAATTGTTATACATCGTTTCTGTGTATCGTCGACGGACGACCTCGGTATATAAAGAGTACGGCACGCGCGTTAGACGCGCAACCTTTATATTATAACATCAAAGAGACTCTTCTCAGCGAAGCATTTTCGTGGAAAACTCGTTTAGAAACAAAGTACGCGTTTCCTTTTCAATTGTAAATTGGGAAATGCACAGAATCCGTATATTAATTGAAAACAGACGCGGCGGTTTATTCGCGATCAAAAAAAGTCTTAGCGACGTGCGCTCAAAAGAAATAGGTGAAGGCGAACCGGTTGCTTTTATCGGGATGCCGAATCTAGTTTATGGATTATTCATACGTCCAATTAGCTGGTTGCACGCGTAGGCGCAGCTGGCCATGCCACGAAATCGTTCAGGAAGGAAGAACTTTCGTTGCGATCGTTGCACGCGGTCTCTAAATCATTTTTACGGGGTCGACAAAAATGCGTCGAACCGTTTTTGTGTGTCTATGAACGTGACTCTTCGGTACCGATTTTACGTTTCTCGGAGGAACACTGTATTCTAGTTTCATGATTCTTTGATGGACCGATAAGTAGTTGGATACGCGCCTCAGCACTCTTCTCAAATTCTCGTGGCGGGGATTCCAGCGTTGGCAAACGAACCTGGGTACACTCGCCAAGGAGCAACCGAGATTCCACTGCAATGCGTCCACGCGGGGCGCGACTAAAACTCTTTGGCGTTGAGATCTTACCATTTAATTAGCTCGCTGATATCGTACTCTCTTTCGCTACGAATTCTCGTTCCCTCGGTCTAGGTACACCCCCCGTTTTATTCCCTTTTGCCACCAAATTTGCGTTGAACTTCGCTCAAACAACTATTAGCCGGCAGCATTATATTCGCTTACCGACCAAATTAAAAGCTAATTAGGCTCTATGCCTCTATTCTTTTTCCAGAGACGCCGTTTCGAGTCGCTTCCTTCACGACTTTTCTCCCGCCGTTTAATTTCCTTCGTATCGTAGAGAACTCTCTTTTTTTTCTACGGAATTACCGGGAATATAGAATCGTACTTTGTACCGGTTGACTCTTCACGAAGGAAACGGCGTTAAATGGAAAGAACAAGGGACACAATTTACTCGGAGCAATTCCGATATCGCCAATTATGCGATACCGTTCGCTATGTTTTTCCAATAATCAAGAGACTCGTGCAGAAGCGATACGTACATTTAACCGATGAAGCGACCGGGCAAAAACGAATGTGGAAACGCGCGAGGCAATTAATATCGACGGTTGTTTTCTCGATGACGTGATGCTGGATGGAAAATCGGAGACGAGCCACCGTCTAACGAGAAGAAAAGTATCGAACGTCGTTCGTGCGCGAAGACTTCCGGCGAACGGGGCACGGGTCGTCGTACGCGTCTTCATGATTCAGGTGGTTCGCGTTCGAGACGGTGGAAAAATTATCAATGATTTCCTGATGCGTTCGCTCCGTTACATTCCGACGCGGATGCTTCGAAAGGTCGTCACGTGCTGGAATAGCGGGAAGGACGAGTTTTCGTTCCGATTAAAAAATTGTCTGATGCGTCACGCACGTGTACACGTTGAGTCGGACCGAAAGTCGTGATCGCGGCGAGTCGTAATACACGTTTCCCAGCGAGCGAAAATAAACAGCGACGCTCTCGAGAGGCTGACAGTCGTTAACGACTCTGAGAGATGTTTAAACCTGTTAACGTATTAAGAATCTAATGCTTCCTGAATAAATAAGAGCAGGACGCAGATTCGGTCATTAATATTTCAGCCCATCTAAGTATCCTCGGATGCCCCGAGAACAAAAGGAGATGAAATTATAATACTGGATGATCAGGGAATTATTCCGCTATGGTGATTGAAATTTTGGAAGCTCTCACGCTTGCCAAATTAAAAACCATATCGTTTTATACAAATGCATCGACTGTCTACCTTCTGGTATTCGAAACCTTCTCGGACAAACGTGTTAATTACTGGCCAGCATTTGCTAGTCCTGTAATCTGGAGCTTTTCGTATAAAAGGTGGTTCGTAGTACCAAACGTTTTGCCCAGTCGTGATAAAAGCAAACCGATCTCTTCTACGAAAACTATTTTAATTAAGAGAATTCCTTCCCGATGTGACAAGAAATCGTAACATTTTCAGGGTATGGTATAATTGGTCTCGATTTCATTGGGCAAACGAAATCGACCGAGTCTCGTATCGAACGTACCTAATTATTATGTTCCAAGTCCGGGGCACCGACGCCCGACGATAGCTTTACGATACTTAAGCACTTTCTTTCGCGGTCAGCGCTTTAAGATCCACTCGGGCAAATGCCGTATACTTATCGCTCTTACAGTAATTGGCACTCATTACTAGACCACTTTTTGCTCGCGTACAGGGCTCGCGTAGGTACAACCTCCGCGAGCGAACCGACTTCTCGTTTTACTCCGAGGCTACGCCTGGCTACCTTAATTTTAAATAGCAACGATGGAAAAAGCGTGAAAAAGAAGAAGAGCGCGTCTGGGTTCGGCTCGGAAAATAGACGCTGCTGCCGAAGGTCGTCAAACGCAGGCTGTTACCTTCCTCTGTCGTATTCGGATGCAAATTAGCTGAAAGCCGGCACGATTTATGAAATGCGGTTAACCAAGTAAATACGTAATATCGTCGAACCTCCGTCGGAGACGCTTTCCAGACACGAAAGGAAACGTAATTAATACGTTAATCATGCGAATACCAATTTTTTCACACGATTCGAGGTGAACGATCGTGATTGGAACGTTGAACAACGCCGTTATCGAATTCAATTTCCTCGGGGATTGAGGATTTTAAAGCGTTTAAAAGGATATGCATTATTTTCGCGGACAGTATGCCACCACCCAAAAGTCCGACGAAACAAACGAACGAACGAACGAACGAAGTTACGATAGAATTATTCACGTTTACCCGGAGCACCATTTATAATGTAATCATAACGGAGCGGGGAATGGGGAAATAATGCGGTGCGCGAAACAGAAATAATGGATAGACTCTGTTTAATCCACTTAAAATAACGATGATGCGATAACTCGAGTCTTATCGATCGAACCAATGACTGGTGAATCATTCGGTTTCGACGCGAAAAACTGTATAATAAACTCGCTTTAAATATATCGGGAAAGTGACAATAGCTTATGGACAGGTTTATCAGCAGACTGAGAAACTGGAGCTTTTTCGATCTTGCTCGTTCAATCAGTATCTATTTTCGTAATATGACTTCGATCAGTCGTTGAGAGCATAAGCTACTGTCTATCCACTAGACTGTGACGCCCTGAGTCACACGAGGGAATAAACTGGTTTTAGAAACAGTATGTTTTATTTTGGTGTATACTTCACAGTTTATATTGGCTGAGAGAAGAATCTAGGCATGAAACAAGTAAAAAACACGAACGTCAAGTCCCAATGAACGGTTCCACTGACGACGGCTGTGGTGGTTCCACCGCCTCGACGTTGCAAATTCAAATTGGCCGTGTGTCGGGCCACGATCGAAGTTCCTTGTTAATTCGTTCGCGGCCCGCGTGCCTCTTTTCGCCCTCGCCCTTCTCGGATCCGTTCCAAGAAAGGCCAAACAGGAACGCATTTTTACATCGATTTCATACCTTTTCGGGAAAACAAATAACTCGCGCGCTGGATGATACAAATTTTGTCGAAGGAAAAGTGAGACCGTATGATGCAGCAGCGGTGGAAAAAACAATCGGACAAACTCGCGTGTAACGAAATTGAAATCGTTCGATATTTGCTTCCCTTGAAACGGATGGTACATCGGGGCGAGCGTGGTTTTTCCCTCTACGTGTATATATTTCGAGTCGCGCGACACGAACGAGGGAGAAAGAAGAAAAAAAGGACAGGTTCGCAAAAGTTGTGCTCGCTCTGCGTTTACACCCTGCGCTCGTCACACAAACGATTCCGGTTCTGTCCCACTATCAAAATCGAAACAAAAACGTGCCGATAAGCTCGTAAATTCACGTTGCAAAAACAACATTTGCATTATTTAAATACAAGCCTTGGGAAATTGTAAAATATAACGAGTCGAAATATGCTCCGGCAATTTGGCGACACCGAATCCCTTTTAACGACGCGTTTATGACAGTGAATCAGATCCGGACATCGCTGGATTTCGTTTACACGAGCCATGTACGACCGCGCGCATTCCTATACTCACGACTATTTTGCTATCACAGACATCTACCGTTACAAAATCTACGATCCGGTACATCACGCGTACGGGACGATCGCATCAGCCGCGCGGCTCATCGTCCCCGCCGCGGTCATTAGTCATAATTTAAAACGCGTTTTCCACCGTTACGCAATGTCCGTCTTAAAACGGTTCTCACTTTCGTTCAGACCGATTTCGTTTCGCGATCGTCCATGAGTCACGCTCGCCGTTACGAGTTTCACCGTTTCGACTCGCAAAACCTGTTAATCGCATTCTCTCAACCCTGCGCGAGCGTCGCGTCCGTAACTACGATTCCTTCCGCGAGCTTCTCGCTCGAGAGACACCCGAGTCTCTAAGACGACACTTCTAGGAATCGAACGAACACTCGACGATTCGATTCTGGATCATTTTCGACGATTCACCGCGTAAACATTGAGTCATTCGGTCGGGTAAAGAAAAATCGTAGAGATAAGAGAGAACTCGACAGCAGAAACCGCGTAGCCCATCGTTACAGCGGAAAGGGAGCCATTACGGGGGATTATCTGCCAGTTTAATCGCCTCTCTCCGCTTCAACAAACGCGAAGATTAATCGCCGTACCACGTTAAACGCACGCGTTTCCGGTCCCCGCTCTCTCTCTCCCTCCCTCCGTTGGTACCGCAATTTTTACCTCCGGTAAAAGTGTTTCAGGAAAAGGAAGCGCCGTCCTTTTCATCGTCCTCCGCGCGTCGTTTCGCCTTTTTGAAACACGTCAAAAACGTAAACGAACGGCGCGTGGTCGACACGTGAACGCAATTACGTGACTCATTCCGCAGGTGTCTCAATCTTATCTAAAACGGTCGATCGCGAGGTACGAATACGAAATCTTCCGCGATGATCGCGTTACGCGATCGGGAGTTATAATACATCGAAAATTCCCGATCCCGCGGAATCGTGCGTTCACCGTGGACCGAAGCCGAGTCAAACGATGCGACTCTATCGTTGATACGAATATTCGGTGCAAAGGAACAGAGAGGCTACCGAATAAATATGTGCATTACGCTAACATTCAAGTACATCGTACACACGCAGCAATCGCGTTCGTGCGACAATATTTAAATGTTCTTTCGCGACGACGACAAGTTTTAACACATTTCGTTACTTCAACACGACTCTTCTTCGTTTTTCTCTACAACAAGAATCGATCTACTGTACATCGAGCTACCGATTTTTTTTTTTTTTTGTAACAACGATAACAAGCGAAGTGGCGTACAAAACGAATTTCATACTTATCTCGGTACTTATCCATACGATTCTATTATCTGGGACAAATCAGTGTCGAAACCCGTAACTGCGACGCGGGAGCGTTGCGAACGAAACGAAACAATTTCGAGTTTCCAATACACTGTCTCTGGCACTCAAAGCAAATTAATTTTCAATCGGTCTTTAAAAATGAACGTCAGCGAACGAGAAACGAGTAAATTTTGGATCGTTAATCGTTCATTGTCAATTGATATTTCGCCTGCTTCGTCGTTCTTTATTCAGCGCTGTCATCGTCGGACAGAATAATTAGCTAATTGACACGGTACATCGTGGGGTCATCAAACAATACGTTGATCAGCTAATGAACCGTCACTCATTAGAAACGTTAATTCTGAGAGTCAAAGGGAGACTGGCTGGTGAACATCGTTCCTCTGGTTCGCGGGTTCGAACTTGTCCGACGTGATTAGCCACGACCTATATTTCAAAGGGATGCTCTTTCCTATCCGGCGGCAGATGCAAAATTCGCGCATCGTTTAAAATACGCATGTAATTAAACGAAACAGACTTGGATAATTAACGAAATTATACGCTCGTGCTCGGAAAGGACGTGAGATAGTTGAAATGACAATACAACGTCAGACCAATTAAGCGTGACACGGGTAATTATGAGAAAAAATAATAATATATATGTAGCTAATGAGTCGCGCCAGTATTAACTTATCTTGTTATTAGCTCGTTGCGAATTTCAGTTACCTTGCTCGACTGCTTTTAAGTAAAAATAAAACGAACGTTTGTCAATACGGTGAGCGTGAGTCATTCATTTTTAACTCTGCCTCGATCACGTACGACTGTTCGTGAAAATTGAACTCGACTTTTGGGAAACGAATAGTAAACGGGGTGACACGAAGTTCGAAGATGAAGTATGACGTGGGCAAAGTGCTCAAAAAAGTGGGCAAAAATCTCAATAGGCGTCGTCGGTCAATAGATAAAGAGATGATCGATATTCGTTGCGAGTCTCACATTAGAGCATCGCACAAATCTGATTTTACCATCGAAAGTGAACTTGAAGGATACACGCGTGTCGTAGGTCTTGAACAATCGTTATCTCGCAGGAACGAATGAAAGTCGGGAACGCTGGGAACGGAATTACTGTTTCTGACCCGACAGACGATGGATTCGGGTAAAATGGTGCAACGTACAAAATTAAATTAAAGACAGTTTCTTTATTGTGTGACAAACAACGTGATTCGAGTCGACGCCCAGTGGTCGAGGACTCGGATGATCGGCGTTGGATCAGTCTGGACGACGAAGCAGTATCGTGTGTCATTTATTGCGCTATCACAATTACCTCGCACCGTCGAACGACGGTGCAGAAAATAAATACGATCAGAAGGAGAGAGTGAGAAGCGTCGAGAAAAAAAAAGAAACGTGTATCGATTCAGAGAAGAACTAATTTTCGACGATTTTCGAGTCTCTCTCTCTTTCCTGTTCCAGAGATCAGATAGCGGAAAACGCGATCGGCGACGATCGCGATCCGTGACGAGATTAAAAAAAAAGTACGAAATGGAAGCGTTCGTTCGCTGATCTAAATTTTTAATTAAATAGTACATTAGAGGAGAACTCTCGTCCCTCTGGGATCGATCAAAGAGCACGTGTAATTTCCTATCGGCTCCCGTTTCTCCATTTCCACGATTTGTACGTGGCGTCCGGTCGATCGATTTCGACGAGAAAAGCTCCGCGGTTCGATGAGAAATAAATTAAGTGTTCCATCGTCGATACACTTTGTGGGAAACTAATAAAGTCGACGAGCTCGGGGCTCGTACAGGGTTATCGTTCGAGTTGTATCGCGCGGCACAGAGAAACTCGCGCTAAACCGCAACGTGTGTTCGGCGGCGCGTTTCTCCGTGGAAATCCCGCTCCTCCGGAAAGGTGGATTACAAGTTCGATCTGATCGTTTCTCAACGAACAACGCGGCATGCTCGCTGCAGCGCGGCAGAAAAATAAAACGGATGGTCCACGCGAATCAATCGGAGAACCGAGCTTCGTCTCCGAACCGTGGGTACACGAACGAAGATATCGAACGACGATCGTTATTAAAGCAGCATCGCTACCGCGTTCGTGTTCGATACGCCGCGTTGCTGCCTTAACAAGGGTCGACATCAATATTTGTCTGTTGCCAACTTTAGCAATAAAACTTGCTACGTTACTCGGCGCGAACCAGCAAGAGAGAAATATTGCTATAACGTACCTCTTCGCGTACGTGGTCAGTCGTCTTCGCGCGTCTCGTTGGCCAGACCCGCGATACACGAACCGCATTAAGCCGGATTAGTCGTTGGTCAATTTCTCGTCGAGATCGCTCGACGCGTCCCTGACGTACGTTCGCGATCGGTAAATTATTAAAAGGCGGGCCGTTGAAAACAGTCGCGAGTTTTGCTTCTCCTATACACATATAGACAACGGTGATGATCTAAGTGGATCGCCTTAAACATCTAGGCTTACAGTCTAAACGAAGGAAGATGGTGGTGGGTATACGATGATTCTCTCATATGTGTCTCGATTTTACGTGCCGCACGGTTTCTGTTTTCCGCGTACGAAACGATGAATGGTCTCGTCCAAAGTCTAGGAGCCGACGTCGTCGACGATCACGATCGACGATCGGATCGATCGGTTCTCGGTGACGCGTTTATTCGCGTTTATGTAACTCTACGCGATGCCCTTTTACCACGATAAAACATCTCGGTCACGCCCGAGTAAATAGCCATCCGTAATTACATACATAGGCCATGCTTCGCCTTACGTGTTTTCCCGATCATGCGATCAGCGTCGGAATTCCGCGAAAGCTGATTCAATGAGATTCTCACTGAACGAACACCCGATGACAAATCGTCGACAAACAATTCTCTAAACGCGAGCGAATCGAAATGAAAATTTCCAAGGAGATACGTTCAATCGAATCAGAGGCAGCGCTCTAATTGTTTTTTGAGAGCCGCGTATCGGAGAAGATCGGATTAACAAATTTAATTGCCGAACTACCAGAGAAAGCCGAGTCTTCGCGATTTCCGAACAGTGAAAATATTAACTGAAAGATGCGCTCCTCTGCCAATGGAATTCAAATTTAATTAGTGTTGCAGCATGCCCGTCAAAGAGTCTTTATGCCGAGAGACGCGCAGGCGTGGAGTGTAAAGGGAGTTTGAAACAACCTCGGGCCTGTTGATTATCTTTATGATTTCGTGCTTGTCCGAAAAGGAACGACCACGGAATGCCCCTCTCAGATTCGAATATCTCAAATAAATAACGTATTGGACCGTTCTCTGAATAATTTGTCGAGCAATCGCGATCGAACAAGGGGGACCTGAATAATTCAACGAAATGTTTGCTAAACGATTTGTCGAACGGAAAGAAGACGTCGAAGACGGTATTCTATGGAAAAACGATTATTCCCAAAGAAGATCGCGTAGAGGATCGCGTGACTGGTTAAAACGGTAGAAACACGTAGACGAGGAACAAGGGTTCTCCCTGAGGATGGCGGACGATTCATCGTTCCATGGTTTAATTACTACGATACAATTTAAACGGTCACGTCCCTATTCGCCTCGTGCACGATAATCGGTGGCATCGTCTAATTACGATAAAAGAATTCGTTCAGTTCTCCCAGTGAAGCACAGGGACCGTCCTAATTTACTCGTAGCTTCAAATCATCGACCTTCGTCGTCCCTATCCGTACCTTTGCTAATCACGATTTCTTTTTAAGTATCACGCAGAACCGGCGTAGCTTCCTTTCTCTCGTATTAGCCGACACTCGAGCTCATCGTTCGATTCGATTCGGTCCGCCACGCGAGCCAACCACCGTTTATTAGTAGCACGTTGTCATCGATAAGCAGACCGCGTGCACACTCAGAGATTACGATCCTTTCAGGCCTCTCTGCTCTTTCGTGCGTGCTTCCACGAGTGCACGCACGTCACGTATACTACGTGTATACAACGTACACCGTTAGGAAGAAGAATCGTTCGACACGTAGTTTCGCTGTTACCGTCTGTTACACTCGTTGATCGTTTCGCCGAGGGTCTGTTACAGAAGCCCGTCGTCGCGGGGGAGAAGGGTAATAGCGGGAGGTACGATACGGCTCGTCACGCGCGTTACACGCCTCGTCGAAACGTTCAAACGAGATGAGCAACGGAGGGATTTGTTTTTTCGAACCCTGTAATCGTTTCAGTCGCAGACACAAGTCCCTTCCGTGATCGCGCACGCGTCCAATTCCTCTTTATTCCCTATCGACGGAACTAATTCGATCTCCGGGGCCACCCATCGTTCACAGTGACCCTTTTCGCCGTCCGAAACGTTGGCAGTCCCTCGAGAAACACGTGCACGCTCTTCTCTCTCGCGACTCGATCGTCGCATCTTTGCATCGTTCATTCTTCCGCCTGTAGCAGCGTGCGGAAATCCTGCTGCAGCTTCGACTCGTGGTAGCTCCAAATGTCGCTACAGTCTTCCTCGGCCTCGTCGAGTTCGTCCACGAATATTCCCTTCTCTTCATCCGGGAGCGGCGCGTTCGGCGACGGCGAATAGAATTTGATTTCCAAATCCCTGTGTCCGTTCGGCGAGGTGACGATCTCCGTGGACACCTCCAACCCCTTCGGCGTCTGAGCGGTACCGTTCGCATCTACGCCGGACGAGGCAACGTTACTCGTGGGAATGCCGATCGAGTCGCCGCGCCAAAGCGTTCGACGTTTCCCGCTTTCGGCCTGTCCCCTGTCACCGATCACGCCAACGTCTTTGCTCGGCGCGGCGATCTCCTCGCTGAAGTAACTGGTCGGATCGCTCCAGCTGCGCCTCAGCACGACGCAGCCTTCCTTCTCTTGATGGTCGCGAGGAGGAGAATTATCGGTGAAAAGCCTCTCGATGCTTTGCTCCTGACGATTGAGCTCCGGCCGGGTCAAGAATAGCGGCATCTGAGCGAAACGGTTCGGACAGAACTCGGTCGACGGGGTCAGAAAGGGCGAGTAACAGTTCTGATCCACATCCCATATGAAGGCCGAGGGATCGCAGTACCGGCACTGACACGGCCCTAATCCGTCTTTGATTCCCGACTCCTCGCATCCGTGCTGCTGCGTCGGCTCGTTGAATTCGTGGATGTAACGCGAGATGTTTCCGAGATGATGCTGCTGTTGCTGCTGCTGCTGTTGCTGTTGATGATGGTGATGGTGATGATGGTGATGATGCCCGTTATGTCTGTAACCCTTTGGCAGAATTGCGCGCATTTGCGCCGGCACCACCACGTTCCTGTTGTCGTCCAACACTTTCACTTCTACGTGCCGATGCGGATACCTTTGCCTCGCGTCCACGATCTCCTGCACCGTTCCCTGCGCTTTGCAATACACGCTTTCCCTCGCGATGGGTGGCCTTCTATGGTTTCTCAGGTGAGGCGACGCGTCCTCGTAACGCTGCTCGTAACAAGGTGCGTACGGTTTTAAAGGGACCGCGGCGTTCGATTGCTCGGTACCCGCGTTCGGACTCGACCGTTGCTGCTGTTCCTCGTGTTTGGCGACCTCGGCGGTGCCAGCCACGGCGTTCACCGGTTTCCTGTCCTTCTTTCTACGTTTCCGCGGTTTGATTATACGCGGCAAACTGTTCTCCGAATTGTTCGAACCCGAACTCTCGTCGCTCGCGATGCTCAGAGAGTCGATGTTCGCGATATTGTTTCCCGTTCCCCCGGTCTCCTTGCTCGTCGAGCAATCCGGCTTGGGGTTCGTCTGTTGCTTCTTAGCCTCGACCGGCCTCTGGGGCCTGACGCCCGACGACGGTGGACACCTCGCCGCGTTGTTCATCGCGCAGTTCGGATTCCCGTTGTTGTGAAAGTAACCACTGATCCCCGTACAGACGGTGGCATTCGCGACTCCATTACCGGTCCCGGTATTATGCTGTATCTTGCCGCGATTGTGAAACCGACCGGCCAGGATCAACGGGGCTCCCTGCGTGTGAATGGCCAGTCTAGAAAGCGGATTCTTGTGCAGGTGAGCCGATACTTGCGGCTCGCAAACCTGCTGCTGTTGCTGCTGCGGCTGTGGCGATTGCTGTTGTTGCCCGATCGAAGGCGACGTTCTTTGATTACATCTGCGCGGACTAGACGTCATTGATATCAAGGGAGCGCCCGTCCAACCGCCAGACGCGTATTGCATCTGATTGCATTGCTCGCTCGGGAAATTCTGTGCACCGTAGCATCCGCGAGGAGGAGTCTTCCCGTTGGTCCGTATCGTCGGCTCCGATTTTCTACCGACGATCGGCTTCTGCGTTCCCGGTCTCGCGCTCGACGATATCAAACAGCTGCCGATGTAACGCTCCACCTCCACACCGCCCTGGGAGGCCGGGCTCATTTTACAAAAACCCGCGAACGTGTACCACCCGGACGACACCCGAAATATTATTTACGATCCTTGCGCACCGCACGCGTCACATTGACACCTTCCTCGTACGATTCTTCTCGTGGATCAGATCCTTCGATCCCGGCGGTTTAGCCCATCGTCATCGTCGTCACCGACGAACCGTGACACCGATCGGCCGAATCGACGACGCGAGTTGCGAAACTCAACTACGTGGGTAGAGGGTGTACGATCCAGAATCGAGCGACGGCATCGGTCGATCGAACGTCCGACTCTCTGACGACGACCGTACGAAACCACGGCCGGAACGATACTGAGCCGAAGCTCGTTCGCTCGCCGCTCGACACACCGTCTTTCGTTTCGCTCTGCGACGTGGAGGCCGCCCCACCAGCCGCCACTGGCGCGCAGCGTCGCGACGCTCACCGTCGACGGACGTACCCCCCACCACGAAATCGTTTTCCCGCCACCTCCTTTCTCCGCGATACACAGCCGCGTACGGGCACACGTACAAGCGCCACTCTACCGCTCTACTCCACTCTGTATCGAAACTTGCGCGCACAGCGTTCTACCGCTTATACTATACACACGTAACATTGTTCCTTCCGGTGGACGGGTCTGTCACGATTTACCGAGGCGTACGGACGGAGAGAAAGCTGAGCAAGGAAGGCGGTTACCACCTCGCTCTTGACGCTGCTTCCACTCCGTTTTAGTCGCCTAAGAAACTTTTCGAAGACGAGCGACCGTCAAAGACGCGAACGAACTCGACGGGTCGATACCGTGGACTCTTGGTATGCGCGTCGTTCCATAGATGATTCGAGGTACGCGATAATGGTCTGGTTCCCTCGAGCGCGTAGACGCAAGAGATTTTTAAACGGATGTAGAAACGTTCCGAGTACTTTGACGAAATCGTAACGCGAGAAAAGATCTTAGACGAACCTGACCGAAAACGGGATTTAAAAAAAAAATCGGGTTCCCTTCCGACTATCGGAGAAAGGAGCCGAGGACCCGAAGAGGCGGGACTAGACGTCCTGCGAGGAAACGAGTCACGCTCGTAAAGAGTTTGGAGGGAGCGCGCGTCATCCGTGAAACGGGCGAGACTGGGAAGAGTAAAAGAGTGGAAAACCGGGGTAGAGAGTCGGTCGGTAGAAAAAGGAAGTCAGAGAGCGAGCGGTAGGAGGGAAACCTGATATCTTAGATCGGGCTACGGCACCCTCGCATCTAGGCCACGAGCCTTTAAAAGTGGGTCACAAGTCATCAATCGCCTGCGGCACGCTACCGCGACTCGGTTGAACCCCCTCGCGTATGCGACCCACCTACTCTCTTCTCTGGAACGCGTCTCATCTGGAGCGAAGTAAACGCGACGCGAGCGTTCGGTACCTCTCCTTTCGTACCCCGTTTACGGTCCGACCGATCAGAGAGAAACGAGCACCGAAATATCTACCAGCCAAGCTGGCGACTACGTCCCAAAATTATCTCATGATTTTCCAACAAACGGAAAAAGGTCTCTGTGGCTCCTAACACGATTCGTATATTAGATTGCAACGCGATCGAACGAGCATAGAATTCGAAGGAAACGAGGAAGGAACGAAGATTCGCTCGAAATCTTCTTCCACGGTTGTTCACCAATCGTGGAAAGTGAGATCAGAGGATTTCACGTCGGTGAACAAGCGACGAAATTAACACGTTAACGGGCAACGATCACGGCGCGTCGCGTTTGCTGCTACGCTTTCGAGGGTCTCTTACCTCGTAGAGGGTACTCGGATCAGTATGCTCGGACGATTTCCTCGCTCCCTTTAAGTCTTTACTCCATCCTCGTACGGAACGCGTGAGTACGCGTTGAGACACAGTTTAAAAAAATGTTCAGAGGGAATCGACTCGACGGCCGTGTCACGTACGCAAAGAAGGTTACACTGATATGAATGCAAATCGAGAGATACACGAAGCGATAACAGTTTGATGAATAATAAATTTATATGAAATCTAGTCGATTGAACATCTTTGGTCGATCGTCAAAGGTGATTCGCCCCGTGTGTGTCGTAAAAGCAGTTTGCAATTCATAAGAAATCAATACGAAACTAAGCGCGCAATATCCTAATTTCCTTTGGGAGACAACAGCGGTGCCCGAACTTCGACGAATTCACTTTGCAGGCCAGGCCGACGCGACGAATTTATGTCTTATTCATTAGTACAGATCGGCGAGTCGACGCGGATAAAAGTGAAGAATAACGAACGATCGTCAGAGATGTCGATCTCGCTGCTCGCGACGTACCAACGATGTTTTAACCCGCGTTATCGTAACCACCCGTCGTTGTACATTATCACCGAGCAGATAGGATCGGGCCGTAGATCGCGCGGTTAGCGATTGTTATGGGATAACTTTTAGCCAGCATGAACCCCGATACGCGTCGGGCGAATTTTGCTCGGCGCGTTTCGAAATTTATCGCGGCACAGATATTCGGCAATTTTCCCGGCGCGCTGCAACGGTTTACACGAGCCGTCAAAGTGCGCACGAGTATTCGAGCGAAATAAATGCAGGCGCGCGACCCTAAGACTAATGAAAGGCCATAAACCTGCCACGGCGAACGCCAGCTGACGATTGAACCTGGTGAGAGGAGCGCCGGTGGTTTCCACGTCTCGCGTGTACGTCCCGCGCCGTGAAATCTATCATAATTTCATGAGCGAGAGAGCCGAGAAACTCGCGGACATCTTGACACACTTTTCTAACGGGCATTCCGTGTGAGAAACTAATCTCGGTCGACGTTATCGGCCACGGCCGATGAAAACGCACGCTCGCTGACTCGAAACAGCGATACGCCAATGCTCTCCCTTCTCCCTGGCGCACGTTTTTGTGAAAGAGAAATGACGCGTATCAAAGAGAGCACGGAGAAAGAAGAGAGGAGTTAAACGAACCGCGTGAAAGTACGACTGTCGTGGAAATCTCGGTCGATACGTACGTGTACGAATGATTTTACGGTGAAAGCGATCCATTGAAATATTCACCGACACGACACCACCGATCACGAAACGCTTTCGTTTCTCGCTTCGAATTTACCTACCGGCTAGACCGCTATAAGACCGAGGCCAAGTTTCCGATTCTGTCGCGTGATCGCATTTCTCTAAAACACCCAGCAGAGGTTACTAAAGAGTCGCAGCCTGGGACTTTGTATCGCACGGAAAAGTCTCCAATTTTTCACGACCTCTAGAATATATTGCCACCGAAGTGAGAAACAGAAAGCAAATCACTATCCTACTTTGTGTAGAATCGTGTCCCTTATTTCTTTTGTCGAAGAAAAATGTTCATTGCAAAAAATCTTTTTGGATATATTGGCTATAGTCAATCCCAAAAGTTTATGTACCTTAGAAAAACGTATTTCCTATAATTAAAAAGAAATCAGACGTCGGAAGAATAATGCTAATAATAAATAGCTACGTGCTAAAAAGTATAGAAGGAAAT